TCTTCGAGGTAGACTACGTTTCGTTTGTTTCGCAAGTGAGTCTTATCGAAGTCTCTTCGGTACTACACTGTCTAAAAAGTAATCTCGAACTATCTAAAGTGGACGTAACCATCGTCTTTCGAGTTGATCTAGTTCTTCTTACAATCCCGAGAAGTGAGTAGGGATTCCGAGCGAGATTATATTTACTAGTTATGACTAAAAAATGACAGTCAACATCGAAGTAGATAGTATTGTCTTTCAAAACAAGGTGAAACTTCCTGGAAAGGTTGATGAGAGAAAGCGTAAAGTAAACGATACACAACCGACTAACACGTGTCCTTATCAGACTTACATTTCAAGAAGGGTACAGATCAGGTAAGTTCTGAACGTCTAGTTATAGCCTGCCATCTAGACACTTTCCGAAGGTCTAAAGTGTTAGAACATTTGACATGCTTTATGGGATAGTCATCAATTCTTCACTAGGGAAACGTAAAGTCTTCAGTTACAAAGGTTACAGAAAAGAAAACGAAAAGGTACCAAAAAGAGTCGACGAACCACTATCAGACTGTAAAATACGAACACATAAAAGAATGCTTCTCTGACGTCGACACGACGAGCCAAACATGGTATCCGACATTGGAATTGCAACCTGGTGAGGAGTCGTTATACGTTGACCGACGAGGGTGGACATTGAACCGGGTTGGTGAAAGTAAAAGACCGTCCAATCCGTCGGTTCAAAAAACGAAACTGTATAATCGGTACCTATTTGAAAAAAAAGAGGGACTTGAACCATCTACAGGTCGTAAGTCCCTATAGAACGAGTAATAGAGGGACCAATAAAACCAGTCTTAGTAGCTGTGATAGAGCGGGACGAAGACGGAGGAGGAGAGAAGAAAAAAGATGGTGTTTTTGTATTTTAGATACAATTTTGGGGTGAACCATTCTATGTAAAGGGGAGAAGCTTTTTCTTTCACAGGATAAATCTTAATTAGTTTGGACAAGGAAGAGGTCGAGATCCGAGGAGACGAAGACGAGGAGGAGAGAAGAAAAAAGATGGTGTTTTTGTATTTTAGACAATTTGGGGGAACCATTCTGATGTAAAGGGGAGAAGCTTTTTCTTTTCACAGATAAATCTTTATAGTTTGGACAAGGAAGAGTCGAGATCAGAGGAGACGAGAGGAAGGACGAGGAGAGAAGAAAAAGATATCTGTTTTGTATTATAGACAAATTTTACTGGTGACACCATCCTATCGATGAAGGGAGAAGCTTTTTTATTCTCAGATAAATCTTTATAGTTTGGACAAGGAAGAGGCTAGAGATCAGTAGGAGGACGAGAGGAGGACGAAGGAGCGTACTAATAGGAGATATACTATCTTTTGTTGCCGTAATATCCGAATTGAACAATCTTACTCGTCTGTCACTTCATCCGGATGACAGCTTCAACACAAATCAAAAGTATATTTTATCTTGCTACTGTAAAGGTTGGTGGATCTTCGGCGATAGTGTGCTAAGCCTCGTACGTAGTGTAATTCGAAAAATCACTAAGTAAGACGACAGCGAGTGTCACTGATTTCACGCTAAAAGTGTGAATTAAATATAAATTATAACTAGAGTGATTTTACTTACCTATCGATAGTTGTCTCACCGAATTTCAGCTGATCACCTTGTACTAGTAGCTTAACTATGTTTAGGTCGGATTTCTAGGAGGTCCTTGGGAATTAAGTTTACAGAGAAAGCCTTGGTCAAAAGTATGACTTCTTAGGGTCTTGAACCATAGTATAGGTAGGAAATGCTTGAGTGACACGACCAGACCTACACAAGTCCTTGCAGGCTGTGGACAAGAAGAGACACAAGAACGACGAGGGACAGCAGAGACGAACATGTGAAGACGAACGACGGACAGGAGAGGATTTACATGTAAAATTAAAAAAACGGGACTGACTTGTAACACGTACAGTGATCCGAATCCAATCACACACGAATACGCCACGCCGATTAGACATTCTCTCGACACACCATTTGGGACGCCTATGAAAGGTCTACACTTTTTCTTTAGTTTAGACGTAATTTAAACACTTATATTCTTTTCCAGATTGGACTGCAACCAACGATATCGTCGATCATGCATCGACCGGCAGGCGACCGCAATCCGATCAAATGTTCTATTTTTTTGCATACGAGGGCTATTGATATTGAGACACAATAGCGGAGACAGGTCCTAATGAGGAAACAGCATATAGTTTTCTATAGTAACTGAAATAGAGATCACCATGAACAACACCGAGACCTTTCAGGCTTCATCAGGCGAGGTCCAGTTCGAACGAGGGAACAGACGAATGACCGGTACTACGAACGTGTCCGAACGCGACGCATAGCAACTGCGACTGACTGACTGAAGTTAAAGAACTAGCAGCTCATCAAACGCTGGGGCAGTTGTCATCAAATCGCATTTTATTACACCTGCTCCCTGCATGCACGTTGTATATTTTACTCTTTACAACTTTTAATTTGTAACCGTTATAAAGGGTAATTAACTAGTTTTATGTCCCTACCCTTCCCCCCTCCGGGCAAAGTATTCCCACAAAACTGGTACAATTATGGATTCCCCCTACGGTAGGGGGGGGTAGGGGGAGTTGAGCTGATTCGAACATTAGACATAGGAAGAGTATTAATGTTTTTATCAGGACGATTTACAAGATGAGACCGATTGAGATTTAACCACTACGAGCTATTTACGTTATAAATTGAGTGATAGAAAATTTATTGTAAGTTGGATTAGGGAGGACACCACTTGTATCACGAGATACATTTGACCTAAAGGTTTTATGAACACGACCTCTACGGTGTGGACTACCAGGCCAGAGATTCGAGGAGTAACAAACACCTACTATGGTCCGACAGTCACCGGAAACCAAGTTACAAACCTTTAGGACATTCTCCAGCTCTAGTCTCCTCTGCTCTCCTTCCTGCTTCCTCGCCATGATTATCCTCTATATGAAGAAAACAACGGCATTATGGTTTTGTTAGAATGAGCAGACAGTGAAGTAGGCCTACTGTCAAGTTGTGTTTTTTTTTCATATAAAATAAGAGCGATGACATTCAACCACCAGAAGCCGCTATCACACGATTCGGAGGCATGCATCACATTTAAAGGCTTTTTAAGTAATACATTTTGGTCGCTCACAGTGACTAAAGGTGCAATTTTCACACTTAATTTATATTATATGATCTCACTAAAATGAATGGAAAGCTTATCAAACAAAGTGCTTAAATCACTAGTGGATACATGATCATCGAATTGATACACAAAATCAGCCTAAAGATCCTCCAGGAACCTTAATTCAAATGGGTTCTTTCGGAACCAGTTTTCATACTGAAGAATCCCAAACTTGGACTATCTACCATCCTTAACTGAACTTCACCGGCTGTTTCAGGAACCGTCAACGACACCTGTTCTTCTCTGTGTTCTTCTGCCCCTGTCGTCTCTGCTTGTACACTAGCTTGCTCTGCCTCATCCTAAATTACATTAAAATTTTTTCCCCGACTGAACATGTCTAGGCTAGTTAAGTGTGTTGCTTATGCGGTCGCCTAAGCAGTAAAGAGCTGTGGGAAACCCTGCGAGATATTCCATGTGAAAAATAAATCAAATCTGACATTAACTTTGTGAATATAAGAAAGGTCTAACCTGACGTTGGTTACTATAGCAGCTAGTACTAGCTGCCTGGCGTTAGGCTAGTTAACAAGAAAAAAAACGTAAGCTCGCAAACTATAACTCTGTTGTTATCGCCTCTGTCCAGAGATTACACATTTGGTGACATATCAAAAGTATTCTTGACTTACCTTCAGTGGTACTTTTTGTCCTCTTAAAGCCGAAGTAGTCCCTCAGGTCAAGCTGTCCTTGTCGCTTACTGGCCATGATGCTTGCACAGGCTGCGCTGCTATCGTTGACGCTGACTGACTTGACATCAATTTCGTGATCGTGATATGTGCACGAGCCCCTCGTCAACAGTATTTTAGCAGCTAAAATAATGTGGACGAGGGGCACGTGACGTGCACATATAAAATGTAGAATGTTGAAAATTAAACATTGGCAATATTTCCACATTAATTGATCAAATAACAGGGGATGGGAAGGGGGGATGGCCGTTTCATAAGGGGGATGGTTTTGACCATTTTAATACCTAAGGGGGATGCCATCCCCCCCCATCCCCCCTCAACTCGACTACTGGATGTAAACCCCTTCGTTGCTCCAACATTTCTCCGCCGTGATTGGTCATATTATGGAGGAATTTTGGACGAATGTCAAAGCCGCGAACGTGATTGGCCGGTGAATTATGGAGCTGGCGCTGCCATTGGCTAACGAATGTTGGAGCTGGCTCTCTGATTGGCCATATTCTCAACATTTCTCAAAATGTACACAGCCGAGCCTGCGGCACGACACACAACATTTGAAATTATTGTACACCGATGGTTATATCATATACAACACTGTATCAAGACTCAGCATGTTCATAACGACTTTTAAAGTTTGACAGGGTCCGTGGTTCTTCCGAAAAAAAGTCCGAAAAACAAAACTAGCAGCTATAACATTGCCTCAAATGCTTCAACATTTCCCCGCCGTGATTGGTCAAAGCTTGGATGAATTTTGGAGCCACGAATGTAATTGATCAATACATTTGGAGCTCGCACTTTCATTGGCCCACTAATAATAGACTAATTCTCGTTGGTCAACATCCTTAATATTGCGCAATAAATGGGAATTGTCATTTAGTACACACCATCAAGGTAGCGTGGCCGAGCGGTCTAAGGCGCTGGATTAAGGCTCCAGTCTCTTCGGAGGCGCGGGTTCGAATCCCGCCGCTGCCAGTATTTTTTCATACATTACTTGATGATTTACAATTTAATTTATGGACTTGTATTTTCATATAACTCCACCAAAGTCACATACAAAGCTATGAAAATAAAGATTGGGAAAAGACCAGTGTATAGCTTTGTCGCTGTGCATTATGGGCACAGACTCCTCCCCACGTGTCTGTGTTCAGAGTCAACATGGTACCGACACTAACAGGGAGTTAGACACTACACCTCCACGCACCACATATCTGCCCTGTTAGACACGGATGAGAAAGCTAGACCTGAACGGTGTAGAGTGCAGGTGAGCACTAAAGCTACTGTGGTTCTGTTTAAGGACAACCTGTGTTTAAAACTGGTGACTTGACTGTGTTATTTTGACATGCATGTGTTTGCTAGCTTGGCACGCTAACAAATGCTAGGCTAAACTTGCTACCGGCTACCTGCATGTTAGCTCGTTTCGTTGCTAATACGTGTGTGTACAAATACACGTTGAGTTTTTTCTCTTTGTCCTGTATTCTTTTGATATGTTTTTATTATTGAGCCATAATTAAACAGTCAACTCGCAGTGTAAGCGCAGGCCTGTGATAAGTGGCTGGAGGTTTTGTTGCTACATTGCTAATCAAGCTAACGTTACCTTCAATATGACTTACTTTTACGAATAACTGTCTGTTAACAGTTTTATACAATCAGATATTTTAACATTTTATCTATATGTGACGTTTGTTTCATTGTCTTGCATCATTTCCCTGACTTGTGTCAGTGAAAGCATCACTTGACAGACTGCATGATCATGGTCTGCCTGTGTGCTAACTCAGGGGTTTAATCAAACTCAACCCTCTTCTACAAGTCTCCTGAAGACTGACTGACAACAGCTAATGAATGATGTAACTTCAATAATATGCGGAATCACATTGCTCATGTTACTGCACCTGCTACCTGCCATCTATTTTCTTTATTACCAGCTTGGGTGTTGCCACTTGGCAACAATGATGTCTTAAGAATATAAATCCCTTTAAATTCTTGTTCTGTGTGTCTTTGTTTTCCAGGTTGGATCTCTGAGATCCTGCTGCTCCTGTTTCAGCTCTTCTCCCCTCCTCTCTGTTCACATCAATATGGCAAGCGGGGATGATGATGACCCAATTATAGAGGAGGTATGTCTGCATGAAAACGTTTAAGGAAAATAATGAATAATCCACAACATATTTTTTTATATTGTGTGAGTTGCATTTTCTTATGTGCCTCTGATCTCAATTGGTGTGATTCTTGAGATGGTTACTTCTTATGTGTTCGCGCATGTGTAAAAAACAAAATCCTTATGATGTTTGTTGGAAAGTTAGAACACAACTAGGCCAATATGCTTTTAAATACGCTTCTTCCTGTAACAATGTACAGGAATGTGATTGCACTCGCATTTTTCACAAAATTAAGGCTGTTTTATGCATTAGACTGTTACAAAAATACAGGATAATGTTGGCCATTTGTGTCAGTTCTGTCAACGTATGTTAAGCCAGTCAATTAAAATGTTAATTTACTATAACCAATTTAAGAACTTTATTCATTAATTTGATCAATATTGTTTCTTATTCTTTCAGATTGATGTGTATCTTGCCAAAAGTCTTGCAGATAAGCTGTATCTTTTTCAGGTAACAATGTCATTTGTTGTACTTAATGCGATTAGTAAGACTCTAAATCATCTCATCTTCTTTGTCCTGTTGTGAGATTGATGTATAATGTGCAACTCACTCATCACCTTTGTTGTTGTTTTTCTGACAGTACCCCGTCCGACCATCCAATATGACCTACGATGATGTCAACCACTTATCAGCTCGGATCAAACCCAAGCAGCAAAAGGTTAAACAAATAGTCTATTATTTATCTATCATCCATCAGTGTAGAGAATGTTTGTAATGTATTTTTTCTTACAACACTCAATAATATAGGTGGAGTTGGAAATGGCCATGGACACAAATAGTCCAAACTACTGTCGCAGCAAAGGAGAGCAGATAGCTCTGAATGTGGACGGCACCACTTACGAGGAAACAAACACCTATTCTGCGTATGTGTTCATTTTCACTGCTAAGATCTGTGTCAATTGTCCTCAGTAGTTTTTATCATATTTAATCAACATCCTGTTTTTCTTTACAATCAAGTGTCAGTTGACAAGTATTGGTATTTTCTATTTTAGTCAAGAAAACAATACCTATTTTGGTATAGTTTTGTTCAATGCAAACTGTTGCAAATATCATCCATTTTAGTATTTTCTAAGCTATTTGAATCAAATGCTGGCAGTAGCTTCCCATTAGCCGCATTGACGCGAGAGTGGCAGCAAACTTCTCATCTAACTTTTGGCAAGAAAAGATAATCTTGATTAAATACGTTTTTCAGACTTTTTATAATTTGTGAATGAAGCTGAATAACTATCCAGTTCTGTCTCTGGTCTGAGCATTCTTCTCTCACTTTTTTTCCCTCCAGGAAAATTATGGATAAACAGACCTTCACCTCCATCCAGGCCACCACCAACACCTCCAGATACGCTGCTGCTGTGTTTCGCAAAGGTCCGCTCTGAGCCTGTACTTCCCCATACTTGTGTTTTGGTTTTCTAAACTCGATGCCACTTCTTGTTAGTACACAAATTGTCCCTCATATGTTCACAGAGTCCATGTGAATCTTTATCAGCGTTACCTTTATTACCGTGTCATCAAATGTACTGTGCTTACATTGAAGATAACGATAGTTTTATTATTCTTCATGTCAACAGGAGAGCTTCACGTCACTCCTCTGTCGGGAATCCTGCAGATGAGACCGAGCTTCACTTATCTGGACAAGGCCGACACCAAAACCAGAGAGAGGGAGGCGGCCAATGAAGGTGTGTCTGTTTTTTCAAAATGAAATATAATATATAGACATTTTTACATAAATAAAAGTGGGGAAGTTGTTCTTGTAAACTTTCAAAAAAATAAATAAAAATGGTAAATACATGAGATAAATAAATGACTTAAAGAGAGTATCAAATGATGAATGGCTAGTAAATAAAATCGGAATCTAACAAAATGTAGCCTTTTTTAATTAAATGCCACAACAGTTTTCTTCTTACTCACATTTGAGGATTTGCTTTTTGTCTTTGTTTTATATAATTGTAAACTGAAAACATTTTGGATTCAGACTGATATTAAGAAAACAAAGGACATTTTGCTTCCAACAACAATTGGCAGATCAATCTGTTATGTAGATAATAATTAGTGGCAACCCGAGCTTCTTCAGCAGAGCAGACAATATTTTTTCAATTCTAAAAAAATGAAATACTAAAGAAAATGACATGAAAAGTTAAAAGTCTTGTTAAGTAAAATGCTGGTATATTATGTAAGAAGTATCACATGATGCTTTTATCAACGCAAAATTGTGCTAGCTGGTAGGTTCAAGTGACGTCAGTTAAATAAGTATTTTGTCTGCAGGTGGAGACTCCTCCCAGGATGAAGCTGAGGAGGACGTCAAAGCCATAACGGTGAGGACTTACACACACACACACACTCACTCACTCACTCACTCACTGCCTCACTCACTCACTCACTCACTCACTCACTCACTCACTCACTCACTCACTCACTCACTCACTCACTCACTCACTCACTCACTGCCTCATCATTACATTGACTTTGTGTCAGTGTGAACCCATTATTTTTCTAAAACATTAAAAAACACTGTGTGTGTGTGTGTGTGTCCACTGCAGGTGAGGTTTGCGCGTCCCGAGTCGGAGCAGGCCCGGCAGAGGAGGATCCAGTCGTACGACTTCCTCCAGAGGAAGCAGGCGGAGGNACTTTAGAGGGCGGGGCCTTGTGTGTTTCGTGCGGCCAAATTAAACGAATTCGAACATGACCCTAATACTAAACTAACGACTCGAAGGCAGTTTAAATGCGGGCAGTGGGTGCCGTGGTGTGCAGGCATTTAGTAAAGGAAGGTATGGAGGTTAGTAGGGAAGTGGTAATGGGTTTAGGGTGTAATGAATAGTTGCGGAAGTAGGGAAGTAGGAACGTAGCCAACTAGGAGGGAGGAGGAAGGAAAGAAGTATGAGTGGGGTGTCGAACCTCGACGTAATACAACTACAAAAGACTTGGAAATTTGACGCGATCAACGCAAATGGTCGTCCGGATTGTCTGGTCCAGCTTGTGTATTAACGTCAACACTCTGTACGTACAATCTGGGCCAAGTAAACGAGTTTCGAGAGACGAACGAGTCTACTTGGACAACATAATGTGGCCTCAGTGCCTGCGACCAGATCGACGGCTAATGACGGAAAAAATTAGTACGCGATATTGGACCCAATTAGGCATCCAGTACGACAGCCTAATTCTACTTCGGCCTCGTAGCCGACGAAATACCGAGGCAAAGTCACTGTAAGTATCACTATGTCTTGTAAAGGTGGTCACATAAAATCTATTGCAATCTGATATTGAAATAACTAGGTATTACCCTGCAACAAAACATGTATTTTCATGAAAGCAAGTTTGTTGATTACTTGTTGGTCGAGTTCCAGACACGCCCACCGGCAAGCTTCAACGCACGCCGCCGTGTGGACGCTGAAGGGATTAGGGGAGTGAGGGATGAAGGGATTCTCCCGAAAATGGTTAACTCATTAACTTCATTTTTTTCCAATCTAACTAGAAAACCACCCCGTCATCTCTTTTTCTCTCTTCTAGTAGGAACCCTTTAACATCTCTCACGAACAAGACGACGGATGACAAAGACATGCTTCCACTTCTATGACAACGTCCTGCTTTATAAGTGAGACTAATTACTCTCCCGCTCATTTCTTTGCAGAGCCTCGACAGAAACATCGTGGTCCGCAGCCACGCCCGAGTGTCCTCGCTCACGCTGAAGAACGTCCTGTTCACGTATGCCGGGAAGTACCTCTGCAGCGCCGGGAACTCCATCGGACAGGACGAGCAGCACATGTTCCTGGAAGTCCGCTGTGAGTAACACCACTCTTCTTATACTTAGTGTTTATAGTGTCATGGACAGTCCCCATTGATCAACTGTCACACAGAACAGTAAATGGGGCAGCTTTAGCCAACATTGCTAATTTCCAGCTGTTGTCCCCGGGCCATATGATACCCTTAAAATCACAATTACTGTATTTGTAATGTTTGAATTGATGCATAAGTGTTACGATGCGTGGAAAAGGTAGGACCCAAATGCAGGATTAAAAAGGATAAGCGGGTTATAAGGGATAACAAAAAGCGAGCTTTATTCTTCAAAAAAAGCCGATGACAAAAGAAAACAAGAAACAAACTTAACATTACCAAAACAGGGGAGCACGAGTAAAGAATCCAGGATCAAAACTTCAAGGACAAACATGGAGCGTGACGTGAAGGGAAAGACAAACAATGAACCGACGGGGAAAGACAAGACTAAATACAGAGAGGGGTAATCACAGGACAAGAAACAGCTGGGTAAGGGAGGGAGAAACACAAGGGCAACAGGTGAACACAATCAGACACACCAGGGAAGCTAACTACAGGGAGGCAAACACAGGGAGAAGGACCAGACAAGAAACAAGGAGGAAAATATTTCAAAATAAAAAGGTAGAAAATGAAAACAACAATCCAAAACCATGACAATAAGTGAACCTAGGACTAACAACAGCTGTTATTGCTCTTGATGTGCATTCATTGTCTTTTTACAGTTGCCTTTCACTCTTAGAATGAAAGCAAACGAGAGTATCTCCAAAGAGTTTGAACTATATTTTCGAAAAAATCTTTTTATTTGATGATTAAATAGATTTTTCTCCTTTTATTAACACTTTAATTGACAATGTTCTTATAATGTTACTTTTTACAGTAAAATCATATTTGGCACCATTATGAATGTTTATAATTGTTGAATTATGTGTCATTTGGTGAATTATGTAAATGAGATTTAATTTCCTTGGTTAATTGACTAAATTATACTTAATGACATAAATATTCATAAAGGTTCCCTACCTGTTATAACAGTGTAATCTCGAAATAGAGGGTTCAGAATCGTACCAAATATGTTTTGCACACAGACCCACTACCACACATATATCTCCGGAAGTGTTTCCTTGTACGATGTGATATACTAAGGACAGAGAGTGTCGTTTTCTCATACTGATATTCTGCACAAACGGTGCTGTTGTATTAGCTGTAAAGTGTCTTTACTGTAGGTTATTTTTTAATTATATGTACAGCACTTTGGCTCGACCAAAAATCGTTTAAAAATGTGCTATATAAATAAAACTTGATATTTGACAATAGACGAATGAAGATCAAAGAATACACTTCACTGTCAGACATCTTTTTAGTTGAAATGCTTGAGTCTTGAAAATGAGAATCTTCTAATCTCCGGGGTTCTTTGTTCAATGGCATTAAAGCGAGAAAAAACGCGGCTGAAGGCTAATCCAATGTGTCTGTCACTTTGAAAAAAGTATTGATAATCCATAATTCAATTTGTATGCAAAAATCGGAGAATCAAAATTAGCTGCTAATGGTAGCCACCAGAGTGTCACAACTCCGGTTTTGGCTACACATCACTCTCGCTACTTATTTGGTAACCTGTGTGTGTATGTGGAACTTTCCCTCGATTCCATTGGCTCTGACGGTTAGAAAGAGATGTCAATCAGCAACATCGACCAACGGGGGCCAGAGGTATGGAAAATCCACCCAAATGACCCCAGAAGTGGTTTTTGTTTGCTAAACCTCTGTAAAAAGGTCAAATGTCACTTGTTTTGCATCAATCTTGATACAGTGTACTTATTATATGTTGTACTTTGGATTCCTAAAGCTTTTAGTCTACCTTACCATCATCCAAGGGTGGTTTTCACAATAAGTAAAAAATATCTTTTGGACGGACACTATAATTTACAGTTTTTTACCATGTTCAATCTGAATTTTCTTTAAAATAAAAAACATATATATCGATTCTGACTTTTCTACATCCAACTCACAGGTTTATCATTACTTTGAGAAAAAATATGATTAATTTAACCCTTTTAGAAGTATAGTTAGTTATGGTGGAGACCTGAAAAACCGGGATGGGGTTCAACAGGTTAAAACACCTGTCTTTTAATTGAATTGAATTGATTTATTTAAAACAAGGGACAGTGTGAATTAATCAACATATTAAAAACATGTAAAAGTACTCGAATTAGCCAAAAAGCTAGTTTTCATCGATAGTCCCTTTGCCAGATGGTGATTGACTTCCTAAAAGCAATAATATAATCTTGTTGGTGTTGACATTGAACAACAAACACGTCCGTGAAGACTCTTCAGATGAAATGCCATGTCATGAAAAGTCAGTTTAAAATGTCCGTAAATAATCTCAGATTGTGGAATCGCTCTGTGATTGATGATCAGACGGTGTCGTCCTCCTGTCAGAGTAATGGTGCTGTAATCAGTGTACTTGGTGGTTTTCTCCTCGTGTCTCAGTTAGTGTTTCCTGAAATGGCTTTTGACAGCAGCCTGGCAGCTTTTGCTTTCTTTGTTCATTAGCCGTTGATTTTAGCTGTAGGCAGAAAAATCAATGAGCCAAAGCTTTTCAACAACAAACACTGACAGACTAGACAAATATTCCATCTTCAGTGAGAGTTCTGCAGTCCGTTTGACGGTTAGTCCAAGAGTAAAGTCGAGGGCTGCACAATGAATGGTCATTTGATCCAAATCACAAGAAGGACTGGTGCAATGTCCAAATCACAGTGAGCAGAAAGAGGAAATGATGTGGAAGTAAGAATGAGGTATCGACATTGCAACCCTAGTAATCTCAACACATTATGTTTGGTGCTTTGTTACTACTAATTTAACTGAGTGGCCTGAAATTAAAACATTCTCACCAGAAAATATATTTGGAATACTTCCGTCCTGGCTGCACTTTCTAAATTCAACAACTTAATTGTAAAGCTATTTTCTCGTGCTATCGGCATTTCCCATCTAAGGTGAAGCGAACCAGCATAAATTAAAGCACTAAACCGTTATAAATATCCCAAAACATTTTAAATGCTTTGCTTACATTAGTCCCAGACCATTTTCCTTAGTGTTCCATATAAGGATTATCGTAACTTTACATTGTACTTAATTGTAAGGTGCAACCCACTTTGAGTTAGTTATTGCATATATTAACACATAAGGTTGATTTTACACATGGCTTGGCATCAGATGCACTAAAGTGTGATTCATGTTTATTTTGGGGTTTAAATTGATACTCAAAAACATTGCTGATTTGCTTTAATCCGTTTGCTTCATCATGTTTCCTTCAGATCTGAGGTGAATTTAGGTTTTTCTTAGCATTGTACTGGTTGCAAATAAATGTATGTTGGAATCAGAGGAGGACAGGGGCAGCGTCAGGACCAAAGAGAGCTTTTTCTGCACACTCAGTGTCTGGGCAGTCACCTCCGTCTTCGGGGGATAAAAGGTGGGCGAGCGTTAGCGGTATCATTGCGATTAGTTACCATGGAAACAAAGGTCTTAGCTCTGACATAGCCCCGAGGTACAGCGGCTGTCGAGGCTTTAAATTTGTCTGTCCTCAATTTATGTAACGCTCTAATTACTTTGCTCTTTGAACATCAAAAATGTAGAATAGAAAGCTTGTGCAACCAGGCCATAGACGTTTTTTTAAAGATAGTATTTTTACCTGTATATTACCTTTTATTTACCTATGTTCATATAAAAGACTGCCAAGTGTTATGACCTGAGAGATATGACCATCAAAGGGGCCGTATTGTGCTTTTGGGGGGTTTTCCCTCTCCTGTAGTGTGCTATGTAGGTTTGTGTGCATGTAAATGGTCTGCAAATGCTAAAATCTCTGAGTTCC